TGATTCTATTCCACCATTTCTTTGATATTGGTGTAACTCTGTACCTCGGCGAGTTGTCCCACAATGAGTTGACTGTTGTGAGTTGGCTGTGGTGAGTTGGCCATGGCAAATTGTCAGCTGGCATTCGGGTAAATGTCAGGGTTCCAAGTAACATCCCCAACAAAAGAAAATTCCAAGGCTTGAGTTTTCTCAAAGTTCCATTTTATTAGAGATGTCAAATTGGCACATCTGGGAAAACCCGAATCTGAAAGTTTCCAGGTTTTTCCCACCCAAAGGAAAATTTAAGTTTCTGCCCAACCCCAACCCCACCCCACCCCCCAATGTCCATCACATGGTTCAATCAAAGCACCGTTCAAACTGGAGATGCCTCCCAATTCCAGCCTTCCAGGTACAGGGCAAGATGTCCTTGACTCTCTGAGAAAGGAATGTTATTATGACTATATATCACCCATGCTCCATACTATCCCCCCCTCCCAGTTTCCCACAGTAGTAAGTTTGGCAGACCTGAAGATCCAATGAAAAAGATGGCTTCCAGGTCTGACAATAGACATGCCAAATACAATGAGATTTTGACATGTTACATTCATTAATCTGGTAATTGGTAACCTGTGTCACATGTAACCTTTATCTGCATTATCAAGATACCTTCTTCTCATTTTCTCCCCTCAACCCATCTCAATTTGAAGAGCCTTGGTAGTACAGGGGTTAAGGCACCCTGTTATTAAGCTTATTAAGACCAGCTGCCTGCAATTACTGCAGGGTTCGAATCTTGCCAAGGCTCAAGGTTGACTCAGCCTTCCATCCTTTCTAAGGTAGGTGAAATGAGGACCCAGTTTGTGGGGGCAATAAGCTGACTTTGTATAAATATACAAAAGGATGAAGGCTATTGCTGAGCACATTGTAAGCCACCCTGAGTCTTCGGAGAAGGGCGGCATATAAATCAAATTTAAAAAAAAAATTAAACCCTGCATCTGCAAAAACCCTGAATTTTCTTACTTATTATTCCGTCTCTCCTGATCTTCAAAGGAGTCTCCTTTAGTTCATCCTGTTTCTGCCTTTAACAAGATCTCAGGGTGTTTGTTCTAAAGTTACGTTTCTTCAACTAATTCATTAGATCAAAGTGCAACTGAAAATTCTTAGCCTTCCATTATCGATGGCCATGATGAGATCAGAGGGGCAAGTAATATTTCCAGACACTGCCTGCCTTCATGAACTTGTCTGCCTAATAGACTTATTTCTACCTCAGGGCTATTAAAATATTACAAGACTGCCTGGAGTTCCGGATTTCTTTTTCTTAAAGCTTTGCTGACATCTCCTGGTGTTTAAGAAAACATCTCATATTTGTGAAAGGATTAAATATATATCGATCCCGTTGTTTTCTACCTTTCCCCATTGGTATAGGTTGCACCTTCTGTAACCCCCAATGTTATTCATTTAATTTTATTTATATTTATTGTTAAATTTGTATACCGCCCTTCTCCCTGAGGACTCAAGGCGGTGAACAGCCAAGTAAAAACATAAACTACAAACATTAAAATACAATTAAATATATATATATATAAATTTGGCCCCATGATTAAAAACAATAACAAACAATTAAAAACATTTTTTAAAAATGTTAGGCCAGCCCGGCTTGCTGGAAAAAGAAAGTTTTAAGGGCACGGCGGAAGGCACCGAGGTCTTGGGTTCTCCTTATCTCCGGGGGCAGCTGATTCCAGAAGGTAGGTGCCCCCACAGAGAAGGCCCTCCCCCTGGGGGTCACCAGCCTACATTGTTTGGCTGATGGCACCCCAAGGAGGCCCTCTCTGTGAGAGCGCACAGGTCGATGGGAGGCCGTCGGTAGCAGCAGGCGGTCTCGAAGATAACTAGGTCCTATGCCATGGAGCGCTTTAAAGATGATAACCAACACCTTGAAGCGCACCCGGAAGACCACTGGGAGCCAGTGCAGCTCACGCAGGAGAGGTGTTGTATGGGAGCGCCATGCAACTCTTCACTAGAACTTGAGTTGTACTGAAAAGCAAATTTTAACAGAAGAGATTGAGTGTATGTTTAGCTTTGAAAGAGATGGTTGAAGAAGGATGGGATAATATTCTTCAACTATATAAAAGTGTGTCATTCAGAAAAAGGGAGGAAAATCTATTTTATATCATCTTAGAGTCCGGGGCTCTTATTAATAGTCTTTGGTTGCAAGTCAGTTAAATGTTAGGAGAAAAAAAACTTCCTAATAATTGAAACATATTAAATATTTGAGCTAAATAACAAGCGAAAGAGGTGTGAGGGCTATTTTGAAATGGATTCCTACACCAAGAAGGGATGCAATTGAAATATCATGATGATGATGCCATCATCATCATCATCATCATCATCATCATCATCATCATCATCATCATCATCACACTCTCCAAAATATTCAGTAAAGCAATTCCTAAACAATAGTCAACACAAAATGTCAGACAATATCCATATTATCCAGCGGTGGATTTTGGATTATGTTACTACCGGTTTGCTCCGTATGTGCATGCATGACTAGTTTGTAGATGCACCTGCCTTTCCTTCTTATTTTGATTTACTTTAGTAGTTTTATTGTGTCAGTTATAGTGCAGTTTATTTTTTTCTGTTTCTAGAATGATGCCAGACAGTTAAATTCTTATTTTAAATAAGATGTTTAAGGAAATCCCGCCCCCCCCCCCCCAAAAAAAAATTCATAAGGATAAAACAATCCATAAGAACAAAGCAAGGGTCAGGAATTATACTTGATAACTCAAATGAAACTGTTCCCCATTACGGTATTATGGTACCTTACACCACATTAACTAAATTAAGTTACTTGCAACCATAATGCAACAATTACAATACAGAAACATTGCCTCCTGGGAGGTATATTGGGTCAAAGATAATTTAATTTTATTCCTACTTAGGTTGTACATTGCAACAGCTGGAAAATGAATCCCACTTGAAGACCTAAATGGGAAAGTGGCTTTAACCAAAAAACCTACCAGGTTCTTAGCCAAGATCTGAAATGAAGCATTTGATTGAACAGATTGCTCTGCTGACACAAGAGACAACTCAAAGCACTGTGCAAGTCAAAGGAAGTTTAAAATGATCGACTTGTACCTGAAGAAATATTAACACAAGGAAGCTGAGGGGAGGAAATTTTTTCAACTTACTGTATTTTCCTCCTACAAGCTTCTTTGAAGAAGTCCTGAACAATGAGAGAGATGGATCGGTTGGAAATTGGCCCTCATTGGCCTTAGATTTTCACATGTGTTAATTCAAGAGAACAGAAAACATGTGTGATGACCCGGACAAAGCACGAAGGCAACACAGCCAGCTGACAGTTCAAAATCCCCTTTATTGCTCCAACTTTTCCCCAGAGGCTCCCACGTTTATGGCAAGTCCTGGAGCAAAGCGCTCACACACACACACACACAGACAACAGCATCAGCCTCTGGCTGCGAATAGTCCAGCAAAATGAGGTTAGCACAATGACTTCAAAGCAAGAAGTCCAGCGAGGCAAAGGAACAAAGTAATGAGTCCACGAAGCAAGGAATAAAGCAATGAGTCCATGAAGCAAGGAATAAAGCAAGAAGTCCTGCAAACTCCAGACATCGGCAATGGCACACAAAACTCCACAAATTCAGTGTTTGTTCCCGACAAGCCCCCCCCCATTTACAGCATTTCCTTAAGTCTCAGTACCCAGGTGTGCCTTATGAAGAGGAGTGGGGCGCTCTCCTCCTAAGTTGTTGGGTTGGCCTGCGCTGTTCCCGCCTCCTCTCCACTCTCCGTGCTCGGGGATCAGGAGAGGGGAAATCCTTGGTCATCACCTGAGCTCCATCGTTCCTCATCTCCACTGACTGCCCTCTCTTCTCCCCCTCTCTCGGTTGTCCTGCCCCCATTCCTCCATGATGGCAAGCTGTCCCAAGCCGGGGGATCCAGGCTGCCTCCTCGACCTCCATCGTCCCAAGCTCCAGCTTGTCCTCCTCCGTGGACTCAGGCTCCAACAGAGCCATGACAATATGTTTCCTGCTTTCTTTTCTTCAAGCATCTGAATCTCCTTCATGTTTTTAAGAGGACCTAAGGACTTATGGAGAGGGTATGTTTCTTGTTGTTGTTTGGTGCTAATGGCAGGAAATCAGATTTATTTCATGGAGAGTAAGATTCAAGCCATTAGAACGAGCTGATAGAATGTATTGATTATTCCACAATTACATACTTAGGCTTTTCTCCACGTCTTAGCCCTCTCAGGCAAAAAATAATTTTTTGCCACCATCCAACAACAGTCATATAGTTAATCCACAAAACATACACAATGATAAAGAGGATTTAATTTTGTAACAACAATTTTCTTTTGATAATTTGATGCCCAGCCATACACTCTCAGATTTCTAAGAACCAAAAGAAGAGTAAAAACTGTTAAGGATATTGTTGTTGTATTACCAACCAGCAGAGTGTAGAGCACAGAGAAACGTTGCTGAGAGTAATGAATAAGAGATGTGCAAACTGGTTTATCAAAAGTTTACTTTATAGTAGAAAAACAGTCTCATAGTCTTTAAACAAATTCCAAGTCTTTGCCAGTTAAATCAGTCCAGTAGTTACAGGTATATTCTTACCAAACAAACAATAGTTGGTTAGAATAACAAACTCACTCTGGTTCACAAACCACAATGATAGCAGATCCATCAAACGATGATAGCAGATAGCAACTCCTCACTATGGCAGCATATCATACTCTGGTAGCATATCACATCAGCTTCATACACAATGGCAGCGTATCGTAGCAGCAACTGAACATGTTACAATACCTTGCTTAAATACTCTCACAATCAGTGATTACCTAATAACAGCATGACTCAGCATTAAAGCCTTAAAGTTACACAATAGATATTCATAATAAAGTCACAGAACACATATATTGACTGGACAACTTGTTAGGCTCAAACCATATCTTAACAAAAACCAAAAAGTAAATTCTCTCAGAAGAAGCTCCAACTCAGTGATGGCATTCAGCTGGTTCTATCCGGTTCAAGTGAACCGGTAGCGGCGGCTGTGGGAGGCTCGTCCCATTTTTGACCCTCTGAGCATGCGTGGAGGTGGTGCATGCACTCACATTTGTGAACTGGTAGTGAAGGTACGTGAATACCACCCCTGCTCCAATTTCTGTGGAAAATACAGAATATTTTGTAGCCAGAAGCAAGGTCAACTGTAAGGAGACATATCAACCCCGTAAGAGTTGATGGATATATTCATGGGACTTACCTCTCCGGCACTGGAATTGGGTTCTATAGGGGCATCAAATAGGAGTCAGGAGAAGATTTAGATCTTCATGATGTGGCCCCTTAAATGAAATAAATAAATAAATAAATAAATAAATATCTGTGTCAAATAAAGCTGGTGCATAGAATATTCCTCCATTTATATCCGGAGGTATGGAAATAATAAGTCAGTGCAGGAGTGACAATGAAAAAGTAATTCTGTCACCTTGGGAATACTGATAGGATTATTATCTCCACCTTTATATTTCTACCAGTTTGTTTTATGTGCAAAACTGGTCAAATTAATACGACAAACACTCAAATAAAAACCAAAGAATGCAGAAAGATAAGCGATAAAAAATAAACACAAGAGGCAGAATAATAGCCATCTCTGAATTATCAATTTGAGTTGAGAAATGCGTACTCGAGCCAGCTGGTCTATCTCCCTTTAATATGTGACATTATCCACAATTGTTTTTAAATTAAATTGAATGTTATTACAGATTGAATTAAGACCCAAATGCTCATTCAAATGCTCAGGCAGTGGCATGAAGGCACTAAACCACAATGTTTCCAATTAATAAGATGGTTGACATCTCAATTTATTACGTTTCTACACAATATGCCATGACTTTCACAGCGCTCAGAAACTTCCAGTGGATTAAGTGTTTTTCCACAAAGAAGGGGAAGCCTCAGGAACTTCCCCTTCCCCCCAAACTAAACTAGGGATATTTCTTCATTTCTTGTTTTACCTTTCATGTCATCATCTTCTTTTAATGACCCCATAATCCCTTGCGGGGTGGAGTCTGGGCAACTGAATGGAGCTGAGTGTTTACTGGCCGGATGCTCTTCCTGTCTCCAATGCGGAGTTTTGTTCAGCAGATATATTCTCAATGTGCCCAGACAGAAAAATATCTGCCTCTACCTAGGATCGAACTCACAGCCTCCTGATTGTGAGGTGAGAGCTCCACCTCTAGACCACTGCACCACTCTTGTCTTACCCTTCATGTGATGGAATAACACTGCATCAGCATCTTACATGGGTGAAAGTTAACAGAGGCAGCAGAAGACGGTTTATTTATTATTTATTTTCGGATCATGGACAACTCATAACAGATGTTAAATTCACATTAACAGGAGAAATGAAAAGGAGTGTAGGAGTGTTGATATTGGAAGATCAAGCTCATGAATGGCTTTGGCAAAACTTGAATTTTCACCTATCAAACCTCTTCCTCACTGATCAATACGACTTATTGTTATTCTTTTCTGCCTTTGCCAGTCATACCATGTTTCAAATTAGTCAACGTTTGTCTTCGATGAACCAATGAACACGTCAGCAAGGCCTCCTCTTATTACACAGGTTCTTAAAGGGATAACAGTCAAAGACCTTGCTGACTCATTCCCCTCATTGCATCAGCTGATCATCTCTTAAATTATCACCTTGACATATTGTCTTCCTGTGATTTAACACAATCCCTAGATGGACATTGCTTCCAGAGTCTTAAACAATCCTAATCTCTTTCCTGAACAGAACCATTTCTATGTGGCTGAGGGAGAGTGGAGGCTGAAGGGTTTAATCAATAGTCCCATAGAAGTTTTACTTTTATCCCTTTTTCAGCTCCTGATCAGCAACTTTTTGAAGGCTTTGCTTATGACCTTAATGTCACAGTTTATTTTTCCTATTGACATCATTCCACAGAAATTTGATTTCAAATTGTGGTAGAATCAAACATTATGAACTTGATATTTTCAAAATGAGTTTGCATCTTGTCTAAGAACATGTTGCTTATGTTGGTTGACAGTACCCCTGCTGGGATTTTCACCTTGGACCTATCCAATATATGACAATTTTCTTTGGATCGTAAAGTTATATGGAAGAGGATAGAAAATCAATTATAATAATAAAGGATAAATCAGAACATGGCTGTAATGCTCTCTCATTAAGGCAGACATGATAAAAAACCAAGGTACCTGGAACAAACAAAACTCTAACGCTGACATGATTTATATAGAATTCTTAGAAGGACAGCCAAGTGTAAGAGAAAAATAGCAAAACACAGAGCACAATATTAACAGTTGCTAGTTGAGTCTCAAAGTGAGTGGAGAAAATTACGTTCATAAATCTTGAAAACTGTCACTCCAGTATTTCAAAGCCGAGCTACCTCGTTCCTGTTTTGCAGAGGAGAGTCATTTAACTAATGAACTATCATTATTTGCCTTTATATTTAAAACTGTTTTATAGATTCCCTTCCTGCTCACTCACCCTCTAGGTAAATGGTAAATGTTATTGATTAAAAAGAAAGGCCTAACAGATTGTTATGCCTCTCCCCAATGACAGCATTGTCAAGAATCATAACAGAAGGCCACGTCTTTCACACCACAATAGGGGAAGCCAGAAAGTCAAATAAAATATAACTTTGCTATACAGAACAGGCCAGAGATAGCTCAACCAAGGAATTCAGAGCTCCGCTTTTACAAGTGGCCTATGAGACACTTACAGATGTACCCAATGCCAAATGTTAATCTCAAACATCTGATTCTAAGGGACATATTGCTGAGGAGCTTGGCGGGTTCCATTAACCTTCACGCATATCACATTAATGCTCTCTGACATATCCAAATGTCATGCAACAGAGAATATGCAAGTTAATTGTGCATTGCATAGTGGCATTTTGTGGCCATGACAGGAAGTGAAAGCAAGATATCCCAAGTGTGCATAGCAATTAGTAAAGAAGTATAGGTAGACTTGAGTTTGACTTCTGGTGACTGTCTCCATAACCCCAAGGCTGAGTTATGGAATTAATCCATCATTGCTTTCCTCTTGGGTGTTTCCTTCCTCTGCAAACTTCCTGGTGGTACAGTAGACCCCCATAACACAGCCACCAAATGGAGGGACCAGATCTTTCATAACACAAAGAAATAAACAAAGAAAGTCAGTCTGGTCTTCTGATTAAGGCACCAGACTACAAACTGGGAAACTGTCAGTTTCAGTTCTGGCTTAGCTAGGAAAGCCAGCTGAGTGATCTTGGGCCAATCCCTCACTCTCAGCCAGTGGTGAGATTCAGTTGGTTTGGGCCGGTTTGGGCGAATTGGTTGTTAAATTGCTATCTGGCCCCTCCCCTCCCTTCCCCACCCCTTCCAAGAGTCCCCATTTTGGCTCTGAGGTAAGTACAGGGAGCTCTACTAGGCCCAAAAACGGGCAAGGGGTGTGTGAAGCTGGCCCCCCCTGTGGTTCGTTTTTGCTCCTAGGAGGCTGCAAGGAGGCCTACTAGGCCCAAAATGAGGTGCAATAGGGCACACGCCCCTCCATGGCCCATTTTTGCTCCCAGAGGGGTGCAGGAGGCTGAGTGCTGCTTGTCACACCCCCCTGGCCACGCCCACTATGGCCACTCCCACCCAGCCAGTCATTAGGGCAGAAAACCGGTTGTTAAATTATTTGAGTCCCACCACTGCTCTCAACCCAATTCACCTAAAAGTTTTGTTAGTGGGGAAAACAGGAGGAAAGAAGGAGCATTAGATATGTTTGCTGCCTAGAGTTGTATATAAAAAAAATAATAAAGACAGGGTACGAATAAAATAAGAATAAATAACTTCTTTGTCAAAATAAAGAGAAGACCAGCCACCAATTGGCTTGCCTTTGCAAAGATTTCCTACTTTAAGATAGAATTGATATATACTGGGGTAGTATGTTAGTCTGGATAAAAGCATTAGGCAGCAACATTAGGCAGAATGAAAAAAGCAGACTGAAATGTGGACAAACCAGTTTTAAATGCCATTTTCTGATAAAAACCAACCAGAATTTAATAGGATGTTAGGACATAAAGTAGCTTAATTAAAAGTGATATCAAAACCACTCCTTATTCTACACTTCTTCTCTCACTAGGAAAGCCATCATTGAAGCATCAGTGGGAATATACATAAAACGTACAAAACTTTGACTACTCACTACTCTGAGGACACAGATAAACCTCCTATGATGCTCTAAAAGAATGCAAATGACCAGCTGTCTGCAAGGAGCATCAATCTTTCCATTCCCCACCATCCAATGAGAGCTGAAGAAGCTTCTTGGACAAGAAGTGAAACATCTTCAAAGAAAAACAAGAAAGTCCAGTTGCCTCTTGAAAAAGCACCTTTGGGACAACCAAGACCTGGATGATTGAGAAGCTCCATAGACACCAAGAGAGAATGTTCATCCTAAAAAGATAGGCAGATTGTAAAAGTGGAAGTTATTTTTCATTATGTCTCCTCATGCCCCAACTTTGAAGACTTGAGTAACGCTTCTGCTTGAATACTAGCTCACTAACATTGCGCACAGGGTGAACACAGAAAGCTCCACTACTAAGGAACTCAAGTGACATGGCTATCAAAATCTATAAACTATTGCAGTAAAACAGTAATAAGATAACTCATTTCATTTCATTCATTCATTCATTCATTTCCAAGTCAGAAACTGCAGATAATACTTTAAAAAAAAGAAAAAAAAAAAGACCCTATCTCAGGAAAAGTCAACAGTGGTTTTAAACTCCATGGAAAGTGATGAAAAACAAAATAAAAAGAAAACGAGTTAAATAGCTTCAGGCTATGTTTAAACTCAATGAACAGAGAAAGTATTCAAAGCCTCATTTTAGGGTGTTGTATGCTTGTAATTCTAATCTTCCATCTTTCACCTCCCTAAGGGAGGATTGTTAATAGAAGAAACTTTAAAGAGGAAGGGGGGAAAAACTGCCTGCAGAGCATTTTGTAGTGTACTAAATACAAATAGGACCACAGAAATATTAAAGGAGATGTATCTTTCAGAAACGTATTAGAAAAACATACTGAGGGTTTTTTCCAAGTGATCTGCTTGGAAAGAAAGAAAGAAAGAAAGAAAGAAAGAAAGAAAGAAAGAAAGAAAGAAAGAAAGAAAGAAAGAAAGAAAGAAAGAAAGAAAGAAAGAAAGAAAGAAAGAAAGAAAGAAAGAAAGAGATGATAGATAGATTATAGACAGATAGATAGATAGATAGATAGATAGATAGATAGATAGATAGATAGATGATAGCTAGATGATAGATAGATAGATCGATACATAGCTAGATGATAGATAGATGATAGATAGATCGATAGATAGACAGATAGATAGATAGAATGAAAGAAAGATATATAATAAGTAGATGATAGAAGCTGGCTGGCTGGTCTTGAGTCCCTATCAGCTGATAGATAGATAGATAGATAGATAGATAGATAGATAGATAGATAGATAGATAGAGATAGATAGATAGATAGATAGATAGATAGATAGATAGATAGATAGATAGATAGATAGTACAAAACTGAAATAGAGCCTTGGTAGTACAGTGGTCTAAGGCACCCTGTTATTAATCTGGTTATTAAGACCAGCTGCCTGCAATTACTGCAGGTTCGAATCTCGCCAAGGCTCAAGGTTGACTCAGCCTTCCATCCTTTCTAAGGTAGGTAAATTGAGGACCCAGTTGTGGGGGCAATAAGCTGACTTTGTATAAATATACAAAAGAATGAAGGCTATTGCTTAGCGCATTGTAAGCTGCCCTGAGTCTCCGGAGAAGGGCGGCATATAAATCAAATTAAAAAAAAAAATCAGAAAGTCATTTGAATCAAAAGAAGAGCTAATTTGCTGAATGCATTTCAGTGGACAATCTCTCGTATTGGTTTTAAGGTACGGGATGGAATAATCCCGCATGGCCGACAATATCCACAGAGAATAGCTGTGCTACAATGGTTGCCAGTGTACTTTTAAGTTTAATATTACACTGAACATATTTAGTAAAAACTGACTAAAACTTCTGAATCTTCTCAGTGACTGAAATGAGTGTTCCCTGGTCTACTCAAGCATATTGGCACACAGAGAGTTCATAGATCAATGTTTGGCCAACCTTGCTGTCTATAAACCCCTGTCTATCTCCTGATTACCAACTGATGGACAGCTTCTGACAGTTCCAAGAGAATATTTGCAGCTCAGCATTGAAATGAGGGGTCCTTGGTGCTCTCTGAGCTTGGTTGTTTTCTTGCAAACATTTCATTATCCAAACTAGGCAACCTCATCAGTGCAACATGTCTGCAAGAAAACAACCAAAGTAGGAGCCTTGGTAGTACAGTGGTCTAAAGCACCCTGTTATTAAGACCAGCTGCCTGCAATTATTGCAGGTTTGAATCTTGCCAGGCTCAAGGTTGACTCAGCCTTCCATCCTTTCTAAGGTAGGTAAATTGAGGACCCAGTTGTGGGGGCAATAAGCTGACTTTGTATAAAAAAATATACAAAAGGATGAAGGCTATTGCTTAACGCATTGTAAGCCGCCCTGAGTCTCCGGAGAAGGGCGGCATATAAATCAAATTAAAAAAAAAAAAACTCAGAGAGCACCAACAACCCCTAGTTTCAAGAGATTAATTCAACCACAACAAAACCTCTTTGTGTATATGAAATGGAAGGCCTCATAAAGTTGGGTTACAGCTGTTTTCTGAAGGTTTGTTTTCTTTGTATCTGTTTGCATTTTTGTATCAGTTTTATATATTTGATGCGGTCCACTGGTTTAACTGCCAAGTTTTCTTCTTCTTCGCGGTGGAAAATGCTATGCATATTTCCTTATCATTTTATCTTCCCATTTGGGATCAACTTCCATTATATTGTTCATATATTTTTGAATCGATTACTCTGTATTAAAATGCAAATGTTCTTATTGATTATATCCCCGTGCAGCGTTCAAAATACAGCAATTTGAAGCCTTCTAAGGCAGCCCCGGTAAGTAGAACAGCGGAGCTGCAGAAACCAGCTGTGCCATGCAAATCAGCTAAGCCATAAAGAAGGAAATAGAGGACAGGATAGGGCGGGTGCGGGTGGGCGGGCCCAACTGCTGGCCGTAACTACCGGTTCGCCCGAAGCAGTCTGAACCGGCTGAATCCCAACCCTGGTTGCAGCCAGGCCTCAGATACCTTGGCCCATTTCTTCTGCAGCCAGCAAGGCTTTCCTGAAGGCCTCTCTAGCCGATGACAGAGCTGTGCATCAATCTGGAGCTCTGTTATTAGCTGCAGAGGCCTTCAGGAAAGCCTTGCCAGGTGAAGAAGTTCCTGAAGGCCTCTAATAGAGAAAGAGAGGCCAGGGATGATGCACTCAAGTGAGGTGAGTCAGTGGACAACATCCGCCCCCAAAAATAAGACCTGGTGCCTTTTTCGGTGGCAAAAAATATATAAGACAAGGTCTTATTTTCGGAGAAACACGGTATGTACATAAGGCATGGGATATGCACTCCTATCTCTAGTTCACACCCTGAAATCTCACTCAGCCCCCCCTCCCCCTTCTCTTCTTCCTCTTTCAGTGCAATTTCTTAACTTGCTTCAGGAAATGAATGTCTCCCAATCTGATATGGATGGAAAGCAACTAATAACCATCCCCATTCTATTTAACATTGCAATTTAGCATCGTTGGCTTATTTTATAGATTTGGGACTGAATCCATCAGATCAAGAAGTTAAATTGCTTGGCAGGAAAAGGGGATAAGCTTTGCCTGTCATTGGCTAGTGAGAAAGCATGTAATATTCCTTTTCTAAGTCGAGCTGTTCCCCGTGCAATTGAAGCCGGGGTATAATTATAATCAGAGCTGTGGATTCACCACATTAGTGTAATAAAATTCTCCCAGTGGAAATGTTAACTGTGTAGTAATTATGAAATGAAAGGCCTCCGCAGGAAAACAGCTGTGGTAGCAGAACACAGAAGTGGCACAAAGCAAAAGATAGTGCTTAGACACAAAATTCTTATGTGAGGAAGTCTTGTTTTTAACACACATGTGCACACACTCGCAAACATATCCTGACACTTGATATATCTTGCCTATAAGGACTTCTAATGCCGCACTAATTATGTGAAGCCAGAAATAAAACCTCTGAAATTCAAGAGGTACAATAATTAGTAAACATGAGAAAAGCTGAACTGTTCACCACAACCTAAACACATCCATGTTGTTTTCTTGGGAACATGATAGAAGTGTTTTTTCATTGCCTTTCTATTTGTTGTCTTCTCAGTCCAACCTAAAAACTAGAGATTTCCTGGTTTCATTCCATCCAAACACTGCCTACAGTAGGTTCAAGTCTGTTTAGCTCCTCAAGGTCAGCTTCGGTGCACTTAATTGAGAAGTAAGAATAATCACAAAAACAACCAAAGGGTATAAACTTCAATCAATTTAGAAGATTACTCTTCCAAACTCTTCACATTTTTCACTCTAGCCCAGGGGTCAGCAACCTGCGGCTCTGGAGCCACATGTGGCTCTTTCACCCCTCTGCTGCAGCTCCCTGTCACTCAAAATATGCGTCGCAACTGCCAATGTGCGACACCCACCAGTGCACGATTTATTGAGCTTTTCAAGCTCCAGTAGGCCAACCATGGATAAATCCAAGAAAAGAAAGGTTTCAGAAGAAAACAGAACGTTTAATTCAACTACATATGCTAGTTTTCTGGCTGCTCAAGAAATAGTCAGGCAGGGGAAGGGTTTTTGTGGCTCCCGGTGTTTTCTTTTCTGTGGAAATGGATCCAAATGGCTCTTTGAGTGTTTAAGGTTGCAGACCCCTGCTCTAGCAGGATTTGATGGTAGACCAAATGTGATCAGAGAATCAATAACAAAGACTTCATGTTCCATGACATGAGGTGTGGCTCCTTGTATTGGGTCCATATTGATTTTCAGGTAAACAAAATCTACCGAGTGGAGAAAATGTTGACATCACCCATTAAAACAAAGACAACTTGGGGGCAGTTCAGTGATGGGATTCAAATAATTTAACAACTGGTTCTCTGCCCTAATGACCGGCTGGGTGGGCATGGCCACGGTGGACGTGGCCAGGGGGTCCATGACAGGCAGCACTCAGCCTCCTGCACCCCCCTGGAAACCAAAATGGGCCACAGGGGGAGGGGCATGCTGCACCACCACCCCGCATCCCATTTTGGGCCTAGTAGGCCTCCCTGCACTTACCTGGGAGCCAAAACGGGGTATGTGGGGACTTCTGGAAGGGGCGGGGTGGGGAGGGGAGGGACCAGCCAGCAATTTAACAACCAGTTCGGCCGAAGTGGTGCAAACTAGTTGAGTTCCACCACTGGGACAGTTAGACTTCAACAAGTACTTGTTCTAGGCTGAGGTTGATAGAGCTATGGCACCTAGTTGGTAAAATCTTAGTTACTCTGTGCTCCTTTTTCACATGTTGCCTGTCGGTCAACCTTCTTGGCCAAATTTCCAACATATTTTTGGCAACAGAAATGTTCCATCACAGACTATTCTGACAATCTATAGCAAGCAGAGAGAAGGCATTTTAACAGGATAATTATGATGCTAATGACATGCCTGATGTTCTTCCAATATATTAAAGTTTCTATATCTCCAAGTAATCTGGGAGCAAATTCTGTT